GAACCACAATGCCGACAAGTGATTAATAAAAGTCAAAAGACCAAAGAGGTCACCTTAATACCAAAAAAAAAAAAATAAATAAACTATTTCTAACTAGTATATGATTGCTTGTGCATTTTAATAAATAATTATGAATTGAATTAAATACTGTAAATATATAGTTACTTATCAAAAATTAATAGCATAGTTGAATAAAAAATAGTTATAGCAATAAAAAGAACTATTTAAGCAAATTAAATAAGTAGACAATTATAGTAGAACTTCTCAAAAATAGATATAAATAATCATATATGCTGTAAAAAAAAAAAATTTATTAAAAGTTAAGAAATCTATCAAAAAATAATTCAAAAAGTAATTGTTCTGAATTTTTTTATTATCATCTTTTTAATTTGTTTTTTTAAATATAAAAAATCTATAATAGAACTTTGCTTTTTTAATTCTACACTCTTACACTTTATTATAGATAAATATTTTTGAAAAACATTTAAATCTTTTGATTTAAAATTTTGATCTATTGGTTGTTTAAAAAACTCCAAAAATTTTTTTAGACCTACTAATCCTTTTGAAGCTAGAATTGTTAAAGGCTTTTTATCTAAATCATCTGAATTATATTCTTTATATTGCTGTTCTGCAATTACTAACTTAACAATTTTAGTATTGCTTAATTCTTTCATAGTAGAAATATACAAGTTATTAAGTTCAAGATACTTGTTGATCTGAGACAGGACTAATGAGTTTAAATCAGCAACTAACAACTCAATATTATCATTTTCTTGTTTAATAAAAGTATTATAAGAGGTTGTTGTATGTTGTATTTCTTTATAATTAATAGAAAACAAGATTTTAGTTTTTTTTTTAACAATTCATTATTGTTGTTTTATTAACTTTATTCTAAGACTTTGCAATATAATAAATTGCATTTCTAATAGTATAGTTTTTTCTAAAAATTTATTTTAATTAAATAATAAATATATTTTAGTAATATTGTATATTATTAAAATTTATGTCAGATCAAAATTTAAATGTTGTAAAGTTTTATTAAAGTTAGAATAAAAGCTTATATTAAGGTAAAGATAGATATTAGCAAATAGTTATATGATAGAATCACTATCAGCAAGATTATAATTACAGTCATACTCTCTAAGTGCATATTTTCTAAATACATAATATATGAAAAGCCTCTTTAAGTACATATTCTCTTTTTGTTCCAAATAATATAATAACTATAAATTTTAATCTCTCTAAGTACATATCTTTTCTAAATACATGTTTTGCTTTTTTTTTACTATGGTCCCAAAGTAAGTGCATATAGGAGAATGTGACTATATTTTAATTTAATTTAGATAATAATTTAATATACAATATAATATTTATATTGAGTACTTTAAATTAAAAACCTAAAACTGAATATATAATACTTATATATTAGTCATCTTATTAAGCATGTTATATCAACTTGATACATTTGGATTAAAATATAATTACACAAAATTTTACATATTAACTTTCAATTAAATAAATATATTTAATATTTGAAGATTTATAGAATATATTTATAAAAAAAAATTAAATTAATTTTTGATTACATATTGTTTAAAAAAATCCCAAAATTGGTTAATTTTTTTAAAAAAAATTAAAAAATTAAAATTTTTTGATATATTTCTAGTACCTTAATGTAACCTTAATATATAAACTTGCAAAATTTCAACTATGATTATTATGTAAAAAAAAAGTTATAATAAAAAAAAAATTACCTATTTAAATTAATTTACTATATAAAAAATTAAAATTTAGAGATGTGGTAACCTAGTGAAGTAGTTAGATACTTAACTCTCCAAGTGGTAGATTGTGAGTTCAAAATTCATGAATAGTAAAATTTAGATAATCATCTATATAATATTCATATTATGGCAACAGCATTCTGTCGATTAGTTGGGATAGAATACCTGTAACTATAGTTGTATCAGCATGACTAGCAGGTTAGGTGCATTTGTGTAACCTTGTTATACTGAGGAATAAAAACTGGTACTAGGCAGTACAAACCCAAGATAAGTCCTTTGCCTATATAAATCTGTAAAACTAGAAAAACTAGAGCCCACTTGGAAAGACCTAAATAAAGAGATAACACAGATCTTCGACAGTACTACTGTAAAAGCTAAATCTAGAAAATGAATACCAATGTGGAGAAATCAGGCAGACAAGAACCTTTAAGTAAGGATACTACCAACCAGGTTACTAAAAATCAAATCAGAGGAAAAGGATATTAGGTCAAACTTGATATACTAGAACAGGTCACAGTTCTACTGGGCTATCTGAATTGGAAGTCTGATGATCAAAGCAGGGGTATACTATAAGTACTAGAGATATGCTATGAAGCAGTACTGGGGTTTGAATGAACTTTGCAAGAATATACTCTGTTAATATTTTATAATTAAAGTAGATATATTAGTTAACAAAGAGGCATCCTGGGTCTTACAGTTAGATAACATGCTCTAAAATATATAGCAGCCTAACAGATGTACAATAAGAGAGATTATATGTCAGATTAGACAGTATTTAGATGTATGGGAACCTTAGAGCTATTTGACTAGTATAAGTATAAAAGATCAGAATATTTAAATAGATAATCTCTTAGTAGATTATAGAAATGTCAATTAATATAGAACCTTCAGACAGACTACTTAAAATAGATAACTAAAAGTTGTATAAGTGACTAGTTATATACTCACCTTGTACAAGTTATACAATTAATATATAATTAAAAATACACAATAAAGGCAATAGCTGCAATAGACATTGACTTTAGCAAAAGCAAAAAAAAAAAAAAATTTATATAGTAAAATTAATAATACTTATATATAAAAAAGTTAGGAATTATAAAATTTTTTTAGAATTTAAAAATTTT